TTTTTGGATCACTAACAAAAAGGTTTCTTTATGCCATCCAGGTTCCAATCAGTTTTCCTCACTATTCTGATTAGGTTATGGGAATAGGCTTTAACAAGCTTGCTGGTGGTAAATATACGTATGTTTATGTATGTGTGTTTGTTCATGTACCAGAGTCATCTAGGTTTAAGTTGTAAAAATAAAGCTACATGAAACACTAACTAAATGACACATGCACATTCACATGGCCGAGTTGTACCACAGCAAACAAGCATAAAAGAGCATAAATCATAAAAGCATAAACTAGGCTTGCTGGATCAGACCAAAGAATTGCCTGATTTAGCATTTACTTTCCACAAAGGCAAATGCGACACTTGTGGGAATCTCTCAGGGCATATGAATGCAATACAGCCTTCCTTCTTTTGTACCCCAGCTACTGTAATTGAGGGGCAGTGTCCCTCTGATACTGGAGGCAATATATAGCAATTGTGATTACTGTTATTGATAGCCCCATTCTCTACAAATTTGTCTGATCCCCTTTTAAAGTCACCCAAGCTGACTGACATCACTACATCACACCACTTTGTTAACAAAATGCTGGACGAGATAGATCTTTAGTCTGCTCCAACATGCCCCTTATGTTCCTAATAAATTTGCCAGCTAAGATGTTGAGTACCTAAGAGAAAATGTGAATCTGTCTTCAGGTTATAAAAAGACTATTCTAAGAATCTTTATGACTATCTGAATGGGGTTGGGCTGATTTTGCTGCATGGTACAGAAGGAGTTGTGTGATTACTTCATTGTGCACCCAGATAGTAACTCAGCTTGCATTAGCTGGTAGCACTGTAATGCTGCCAACTGTGAGTTCAAATTGACCCAAAGTACTTTAGATGTTAAGGGCTTGCTTTCAAGTAGCACACAGCACCTGTGCCAGCTCAGATCTTTGGCTGACACAAACATCTTCAAGAGCCATATGCTGTGATTAGCCCTTCTGTTTAAGACAAAGCAAACTATTCAGTCATGGATCAAACTGCAATCAGAAGATGACATAAACTTGGAATGGCAGCTATGAAGGAGCTAAAAAAGGTCCTTAAGTATAAGGCCATGATGATCCATACTGTAACATTCCCAATATCAGTATGTATGGATGTGAAAGCTGGAAATGAAAAATGCTGACAAATAAATAAATTCATAATAGGGTGAAAGAGGGCTTTACAGATACATGGACTGCCCAGAAGCAAAACAAGGGAGCGCTAGATCAAGTCAAGCTTGATCTCTCATTAGAAGCTCAGAAGCTGTTGTACTTTGCATATATGACACGAAGCAAAGACTCACTGGAAAAGACAATAAAGCTAGGAAACTTGAAGATAGTAGGAAAAGAGGAAGATTGAACATGAAGTGAACTGATTCAAAAAAGGAAGTTATGGCCTTTAGTTTTCGAGCTCCGAGTAAGGCTATTAATAATTGGATCTGTTGGAAGTAATTAATTCACAGGGCTGCTGTAAGTTACAAATGACTTGATGAAACTTAATAACAGGACTGCGTATTATACAGAAAGTCCAAGATAGGCAGTTCCAGTGCTTTTAAGTTAAAACAGCTTTTGCTTGTCTTTGAGGATGGGAAGGATTTGCATTTCCCCTTCTCTGGCAAGGTAAGCAGTGGCTCAGAGTAGAACTGGTTTAATTTAGAAAAGCAGCACATAACTATAAGGTTAAAAAGCCCTTATCCTAGCATCATTGCTGTCATCAAATTCATCAAAGACACATGTGTTTTTGTTACCTTTTTTTCATCCAAATACTGAATTATTCATCCAAATTCACTTTTTGCATTAAAATGCAAGAGTCAATTAGGTTACAGGGTAACCAGGAATACATGATAGGGCAATTTTCCTATAGAGATCAGTGAATGCCAGTTATTCTGTAAGGATTTGGTTTCTGAAATGGAGGTTAAACATGTTTTAGGCTAACAGGATCGCATAAGCAGCAAACTCAGATAAGGAACTAGAATGTAAAGCATATTTGGATCCATCTTTCCCAAATTCAGCATATAGAGTTGGGTGCCTGCCTGCCTGCCTGTGTTGCAAAGCAACTGCCCTTCCCGGGCTCTTAGCCTTCAATCCCTTGAACCAGAGAACTAGGCCAGTTCCTCAGCAGTAGCTCTTAACACTGCAGGAGATTTGAATGGTTTGTCCTTGGCTTTGTAAAAGAAGCATGAAGGAAGCATAGCCTCCTGTTCAATGCTGCCAGCCAAAGCCTCTCTTCACAGAGACACTCTGTGATATCCATTAGTAAAGCAGCCACCATGGAGAGAGGCAGAAAGCAGCAGGATTTGCATTCCTTGTCAAGAACAGGCATTAGCGCAGACAGAACACCACATTTCGACCTTGGAAGGCTGACTGCAGCGTGCAGGCCACACATAGCCCACTCCTGCAGAATAGATACCCCAACCCTGGCCTAGATGGACAGGGCAGGTCGTGGAGGAGCTATGGGTCTCAAGTGACCAGAAATGCCATTTTTGGGGGTATAATAAAGGTATTGCCCATCATTGTCTTCAGACTGGATATAAGGACTACATGGCTTTTTTTCTTTCTCTTTTTGATTGGATGTGGAAGCCTTTTCTGGCTCAAAACCTCCCCTTTTGAAGTAGAAGCAGCCTGGAATTCTGTTCCTTAAAAGCAATCCCGGTCCTGTGACCAGAATGTCAACCTCTTTGTTGTGCATCATTTTAACTTTTTTTAAAAAATTGTATATTTTGATTAGATAAGTTGGCCTTTGTAGGGGCGAGGGGAATTTGGACGGCAGTACTGCATAATTTTTATTGCTACAATTATTAGTTTGTGGTCTAGTCTTTTCTCCCCTTTGTTGCAAAAGTATGATTGAGACTTTTAATATATGACACTTGTGAATGATATGAAAGTTGGTTGGTGCTTCTGTCCTTCAAATCATCACATAAGGCCGATACTAGTAAGTGCAAACAATTTCCAGTAATTTGGACGTAGAGAAGAAAACAATTCTACCTCTAACATTCATCTCAAAAGTGCACCTCTATAATCCAGAATGATTTCTGTTAACTCTTGGTCACGACAAATCTTGATCTTCGTTTTTAGAAATATGCCACACTTTTCTGTACTTCAGCATACTTCCACGACTCTTTGTACATCTCTTAAAAGTCACTTAGAATGGACCTGTGATTCATGCCTGGAACCTATTGTAAGCAATAATTGATATAACAAACTGTTATAATTATCTGTTAGAAATGCCATAATGCTGTTATGGAATGTGTGCCAAGGACTTCACATGGAGATGTGCCCCATGCAAAAACATTTTTTTTAATATTCCACAGTTTTAGGCTCCATCATATACAGGGACCATCTTTTCTGAAATATAACTATGGGGCGGTATATAAGTCCAATAAATAAATAAATATATATATAACAGAATAATGGTTCTGCAGAGCTTTACACAAAATGCAGGGAGGAGGGATAATAACCAACAGGCATGCTGTGTGGAGAGTTCTGTCACTCTGTCCTAGCAAAAATGTACCAAAACAAAATCTCTTTAAGTAAGTCATCGCCTTTAGTTCCCCTTCTACCAAGGTTAAAAAATTGCCCTGGTTGCCTCCAGATGGCTGGGAACAGCCACTGCTTGCATACCTTTGGTTCCGTCCCACAGGTCTCTAGATGGCAGGATTTGTATGACATGTCATTTTCTTCTTCAAGCTATGCTTTGAGTTTATGGGTGGATTTGGACATGTTTATGAGTAATATGGTGAGAAAGGCCCGATTACTCATTAACATGAGTTCAAATGTAGGTTGCAGAGAAAATGTGAAATGGAATGGAAATCCTCCATTTAGTCATATCATAGATCACCCCACCCCATTTCCTCTTCTTGTTCCCTTTCCATATTCCTCCTCCAGTCTTTCTTATTCTGAATGTTCCTCCTTGCTTTTTCCCCAACTGTGAGGATGTGAGGTTTATTCTTGAAGTTAAAGTCCCTGTCTGCTTTTGGACTATATGCACAGTCCCAAAATACTTGAAGTAATAAAAAGGAGCAAGCCGCTGAGTATTTGCACACTTTCTCTCTAGTCACTATGATAAAGAGAATTGGTGTCTTCACATATTGATATTTTAGTCTAGATTTCTGAATGACCGCTCTGATTGTTTCTGTGTTGATCTTAATAATATAGGAGGATGAACCTCCATCTATCTAAAAAGATATTTAAAATCATCTATCTAAAAGAATATCATGGTTGATGGAATTATAGGTCCCTGAGAGATCCATGAGCTACAGAGCAATTAAAACCATTTCCATTCCAAACCTAAGCTTCAAGACTGATTTAAAAAGAATTTCTAACAGTTTTATTCGAGTCTGTTGCAGTCTGCAGGGAACCTCCCACTTGGACATCTTGTCTAAGAATATATGCTAACAGCTATACTTGTTCACATTTTCAAGTTAGGTCCAGTAATGGTTTGTAAAAAAAAGAGATTGAAGGTTGCATCTTGTGTGTCTTAATGGTGTGTTCTGTAGTGAAAAGGCAAAAACAAAACAAAACAGTAGTCTGTCCTAAGAGTGGCTCATTTTCGCTACTCTTGGAATGGAGCCTCAAACTATGCATGGTGCTCCAGTCTAGAACAATGACAGTCATGATAATCATCTTTGGGTTCTAACGTTTTATTGGGCACCTTCATCTTATCTTTGCAGTCATAAGAATTAGAAACTAATTTATTTAAAGAAATAACCCAAGAGAAATGAGTTTCTCAGGTATCCAGTGCTGAGTTGCACACAAACACATACTTGTTTGTGTGGTGTTGCATTTAGTAATAGCCATCACCAAAACAGCTTCTCCAGTGATGAAGAACTGACCTACAATGACAGACAGAGGATAGCAGTCTTGCTAGCATCTAAACATGCAAGCAGGAGAGATGTATGAGAATGATGTTGAAAAATGGGGGAGGCAGAGTCAGGAACCACATCCCTACTCTTTACTCTTTTCTTGATATTTTTTGCCCTTTCTTTTTCAGAAGAGGATGTGGAGAACTTTGATGTAAGAAACCTTTCTCAGGATGTGATGCGGAGCATTGAAGCAGACAGCTTTTGGTGTATGAGTAAACTCCTAGATGGGATACAGGTAGATACTACTTCCTTACTCTTGCTTCCTGTCCCCTTTCAACCTTCATAGGAGAGAATATGTAGAAAACTGTAACAACCATGCTTTAAAAAAATTACACCCTCCAAAACATAAAATACCACTTTCCAGGCAACTAACGTTTTCCTTACATGAATTATTATAATTCACAATATTTGCATACTTTTCATTGTTCTGCTTAATTTATTCTACTTCATATATTTTGCTGGTTGAAATAAATTCAGTTTTACCCACTGTATTTGACACTAAATGCAGCAATAGTTGAAAGGATCATAGAAAACAATATAAAAATCAAATACAGCTTTTTCTAATTCAGCACTCTCCAGATGTGTTAGACTACAACTCTCATTATTGGCAGCCAGCCTATGAAATTATCCCTCTAAGAAACTAGACTAAAAATTCTTCCCAGTACCTATGAATTTTAAGTTGGAAGGCATATTGTGGAAGAAGGAAGGCGGAATTCAAATCTGGGGTCTAGGAGTTGAAAGCTTCCCTACTACTATTGGAAATGATATACTGTACTGTATTTTTCGCTCCATAAGACGCACTTTTGCCCCCAAAAAAACTTCGGGGGGAAAGTGCATGCATCTTATGGAGTGAAATCGCCAGGACCCTTCCAGTTTTATTTACAGGAACCTGGAAGGCGCTCTCGGACCCTTTGGAGGCTTCCCCCAGCCTCACCCCTGCTGGCCCAGCAGGCTGAAATTCCCAGATTATTTATTTCCTGTTTTCTTCTCCTAAAACTTTGGTGCGTCTTATGGAGCAAAAAAAAATACCATAAATGTATAGTAGATTCTTAGTTTAGTAGGTATTACACACAGAGAGAAAAGTACTTGTGTACTGTACGTGTTGATGGGGAAGAGGGCTGTCTAGTAATTCCTCCATCTCTATCCATACTTATATTGGTGTTGTTTTTTTCATACAGACTCATGAGAAAAATGGCTCATTATGGTGTTTTTAAAATTATTTTTATTTAAACTATCTTTTACCCCAAATTTTTCCTTAAAAAGGACCCAAGGCAGTTTACATCATTAAAAGACAGTATTTTAAAACTAACAACAGTGAGTATACAATTACTAGAAAGGACTGAACAAATATTATATTAAAAAGCATAAGCAACACCAAAGGACATTCAAAACAGTAAGGTACAACAATCCATTAAAAAACCCCACTCAGGTAACCAGTCACTGAAGGTGACTGAAGAGATAGGTGTTTGCCTGCTTACAGAAGTAAAGATGGGGCCAGCCTAGCTTTCTGTGGGAGGGAGTTCCAAAGTCTGAGAGGAGCAACAGAGAAGGCCATCTCCCGTGTTCTCACCAAACACACCTATGAAGGTGGTGGGACTGAGAGAATGCCCTCTTCTGATGGTCTTAACACTTAATCAGGTTCATAAGGGGAGATGAGTTCTTCAGATGGCTTGGGCCCAAGCCATTTAGGGCTTTATAGGCTGGAACCAGCATTCTACCCAGAAGCGGATTGGCAGCCAGTGGAGCTGCTGTGACAGCAGAGTTCTGTGATCCCTATGACTGCCCCCAGTTAACAATCTGACTGCTGTGCTTTGGACCTGCTGAAGTTTCCTAACACTTTCCATAGCCAGCCCCAAGGAGAATGTGTTACAGTAATCCAGCCAGTAAAAACATAAATGGTTAATAGCTTAACTCTTTGTTCTCTCTTATTCACTGCTGCTAACAAAACTTCTCAAAGAATCTCATCCCTCCAGTGGTTTCCCTCCTGCCACCATCCTGTGGTTCATTGTTTACCAAGAGAACATGCTACATGTAATGCTTGAAATTATGGGGAAGTACTTTCAGGCTATAGCTAGCTTTTAAACTGGACTCAGTGCTTTTAAACTTTTTTTTTTTTTTGGCTATAGGATAACTACACTTTTGCACAACCAGGGATCCAAAAGAAAGTCAAAGCACTAGAGGAACTTGTCAGCCGGATTGATGGTAGGTGAGACTGAAGCTACTAAAAGAAAATCTGAACTTGATAAATTCTGAACGGTTCACATCCGTGGCTGAACATTAATGGTTTGTGTACATTAGGTGTGAGTTGTGCAAAGCTACCATGAAGCCCAATGTTGTTGTTTAGTTGCTAAGTCGTGTCTGACTCTTCATAACCCCATGAACCAGAGCACGCCAGGCCCTCCTATCTTCCACTGCCTCCCAGAGTTGGGTTAAATTCATGTTGGTTGCTTCAAAGACACTGTCCAACCATCTCATCCTCTGTTGTCCCCTTCTCCTCTTGCCTTCACACTTTCCCAACATCAGGGGCTTTTCCAGAAAGTCTTTTCTCCTCATGAGATGGCCAAAGCATTGCAGCCTCAACTTCAGGATATGTCCTTCCAGTGAGCACTCAGGATTGATTTCCTTCAAAATGGATAGATTTGTTCTCCTTTCTCAGGAGAAAGATAAGGTGGACAGGCACTCCCATTTCTTTAAGGAATTGCCATAGTTTGCTCTGGTCCACACAGTCAAAGACTTTTGCGTAGTCAATGAAGCAGAAGTGGTAGATGTTTTTCTGGAACTCTCTGGCTTTCTCCATAATCCAGCGCATATTAACAATTTGGTCTCTACTTCCTCTGCCCCTTCGAAAGCCAGCTTGTACTTCTGGGTGTTCTTGGTCCACATACTGCTGAAACCTAACTTGTAGGATTTTGAGCATAATTGCTAGCATGTGAAATGAGTGCAATTGTACAGTAGTCGGAGCATTCTTTGGCACTGCCCTTCTTTGGGATTGGGATGCAGACTGATCTTTTCCAATCCTCTGGCCACTGCTGAGTTTTCCAAACTTGCTGGTATATTGTGTGTACCACCTTAACAGTGTCATCTTTTAAGATTATAAATAGTTCGACTGCAATTCCATCACCTCCACTGGCCTGGTTGTTAGCCAGGCCTTCTAAGGCCCACTTGACTCCACTCTCCAGGATGTCTGGCTCAAAGTCAGCAGCCACACTATCTGGGATGTCCGGGACATCCAAATCTTTCTGGTATAATTCCTCTTTGTATTCTTGCCACATCTTCATGATCTCTTCTGCTTCTGTTAGGTCCCTACCATTTTTGTTTTTATCATGTACAAAATGTTCCTTTAATATCCTGTTTCCACGAAAAGAAGACCTAACCTGAAAATAAGCCCTAGTATGATTTTTCAGGATGCTCGAAATATAAGCCCTACCCCAAAAATAAGCCCTAGCTAAGTGAAACCCTGCCCTCCACCATTGTGCAGCAACCAGAAGATGACATGACTGTAAAATAAAACATCTCCTGAAAAATAAGCCCTAATGCGTTTTTTGGAGCAAAAATTAATATAAAACCCTGTCTTACTTTCAAGGGGAAACGATATCTCCAATTTTCTTGAACAGATCTCTGTTTTTCCCCGTTCTATTATTTTCCTCTATTTCTTTGCACTGTTCATTTAAGAAAGCCCTCTTGTCTCTCCTTGCTATTCTTTGGAAGCCTGCATTGAATTTTCTGTAATTTTCCCTATCTCCCTTGCATTTTGTTTCTCTTCTCTTCTCTGCTATTTGTAAGGCCTCCTTGGACAGCCACTTTGCTTTCTTGCATTTCCTTTTCTTTGGGATGGTTTTTGTTGCTGCCTACTGTACAATGTTACGA